AAAAAAAAAAAAAAAAAGTGGGGGTGGTGATGTGTGTGTGTGGACAATGGGAACATGGAAACATGAAGACACTGATTGTGTTACAGGGTGGTGCAGATTTGGGTAAATTTTCATCGTTTTAAGATGAACAGCTGTGACAATGTGTCGCATCCAGGTTCTGTGCTACTTACACCTTTGTCTTCAACACACAATCTGGCAGGTCAGAGTCAGACAGCCCAAGGCTGAGGATGGGGGGGTGGGGGGTGGGGGGAGTGGGGTAGTACCAACCTGCTTTCCGGCTCCAGTTTGCAGCAGATGGCAGCCAAGGGGAAGAAGGCTGGGGGACAGTCTGTGGGGACAAACTTCTCCCAGAAGAGCTTCACGTTGAGGCCAAAATCCAGTGTGCGGGGCAGGCAATCAGGATCTGCATATACCTGCCCAATGATCTGTAGGTGAGAGGATGGCTGGTTAGGAATGGAGAGAGACCTCGGCCATATGGTAGGGGAGGGTGCTGGTGTCTGGTCAGGAGAGGGGGTGGGAAAAAGCTAGGTCAGAGAGCTGCTCTTTGCTCATCTCTCCAAATCTTGCTATCCAAGAGCTCTCTCTTGAGTGAAGAGTCCAGGTGCTGAGGAGGACTTAGCAGAGGCCCCACTGCAGCATGAGGTCTGGCGGCTCCCTCACATCCCACCCTACTCTGGCTTGTGTCTGAGTAAATGCTTTGTAAGGCCAGGGGCTGGATCTCACACCCTTTGTACCAGCTGAGTGCTTTGTACACAGCAGACGTCAACTGATATTAAACATAAAAAAACAAAAAACAAAACTTTCCTTGAAAAAGGATAGTGGTGATGACTACACAGTACCATGAATGTGATCACTGAATTAGATACATAAAACGGAATTGTTTGGGGTTGTTTTTGTTGGTTTCAGTACTTTTATGGCTGAAGATATTTCATTTTACGCACACACATATATATAGCAGGGGGCTTCAAAAAGTTCATGGAATAATTCCATTATCTTTTTCAAAAAATTTTTAATTAATTTTTTTAAATTGCCTTCCCTGAACCCAAGTCCTGGTGTGACACTGTAGATTAATGATCTGGATGGCAAGGTCAGTTTGAACTGCAAGGTCGACGGTTCAAATTCACCAGTTGCTCCTTGGAAACCCTACACAGGGTCGTTATGAGTCAGAACTGACTTGAAAGCACTTAACAACAATGTTTAATGGAGCCCTGGCGCGGCGCTGTAGGATAAGCGTAAGACCACAAGGCTGGTGATTTAAACTCATCAATCACTGATTGAAAGCCCTATACTGGGTTGTTATGAGTCGGAAGTGACCGGAAGGTACTTAATGTCTAATGAGACTCCTAGTGTGGCATTGTAGGATCAGCAATGGGCTGTGAACCATAAGGTTGACAGCTCAAACCCAGCAGCTGTTCCTTGGAAACCCTATACAGGATTGCCATGAGTTGGAACTGACCGAACAGCACTTAACAACAATAGCTAATGATCGAGAACATTTCTTCAAATATTCGTTAGCTACCTGAATGTCTTCTTTGAATTCCATTATCTTTTTTTTTCTTCTTTAACAAACAGAAATGTATTCTTTCACAGTTTAGGAGGCTAGAAGTCTGAATTCAGAGCACTGGCATGTAAAAAGGTCCATGTTGCCTTTCGGCATCTGTAGGCTCAACATTCCTTGCCGATCTCTATGTACCTCGGCATTAATCTTTCCCTGGATCTAGGAGCTTCACAGTGCAGGGACACCAGGTCTAAAGGATGCACTCCACTCCCAGCTCTTCTTTTTTCCTACCCTCATCCCACCACTCACTTCCTGAATTCCTTTATCTCTGAGCTCCATATTCCTGTGAGTTTTTGGAAGCCTCCTCAAATATACATAGGTATATGCTTTTACTGTAATAGACATAAAACATATACAGTGTCTACATGGACATGGCAGTGTCAGTGATTGCTTTTTTCAAGCTGTGCAGCCATTTCTGCTCTTTTTCCAAATTATCCACCACCATTAACATACTTTCAGTGCACTCTATGCAAAAGCCCTCTCCCCTTGGCGCCAAAAACCTCAACCCAACCCACTGTCATCAAGTTCCAATTCATAGTGACCCTATGGGACAGAACTGCCCCAGAGGGTTTCTGAGGCTGTAATCTTTACAGAAGCAGACTGCCACATCTTTCTCCCATGGTGAGTTAGAACTGCTGACCTTTCTTTCAGTTATCATTAATGGACTTTTGGTTTCTACAGATTTGCTTTTTTTTTTAAAAGGGAGATCATATAGTATTTGTCCTTTTGTGACTAACTTATTTTTGCTCAGCATAATGTCCTCAAGGTCCATCCATGTTGTGCCAAGTGGCAGGACTTCCTTATTCTTTATGGTTGAGTAATGCTCCTTTGTATGGGTGGACTACATGCTGCCTAACCATTTATCAGTTGTTGGACACATTGGTTACTTCCACCTTTTGACTATTGTGAACAAGTACTTCAATGAACCCTGGTGTACTTGTCTCTTTGAGTTGCTGCTTTCAGTTCTTTTGGATATAGGAGAGGGCTTCAAAAAGTTTCTGGGAAATGGAATTAAGATAAAATTTTTCCACAAAACTTTTTGAAGCCCCTTTGTATACTAGGAGTGGAACTGCTGGGTTATATGGTAGAACTATGTTCAACTTTTTGAGGAACAACTGAACTGTATCTATTTTATGTTTCTACTAGCAATGGATTTTTCCCACAGCCTCACCAATACCTAATGATTCCAACTTTTTTGATCATTGCCATTCTTGTGTGTGTGTGTGTGTGTGTGTGTGTGTGTGTGAGAGAGAGAGAGAGAGAGAGAGAGAGAGAGAGAGAGAGAGAGAGATGATATCTCACTGTGGTATTAGTTTGCAGTTCCATGATGCCTAATAATTTTGAAGATTTTTCCATGTGCTTAGTGACCATTTGATTATTTCCTTGGTGAAATGTCTGTTCCAGTCCTTTGCCTATTTTTGATTGGGTCGGATTTTTTGTTGTTAAGTTGTAGAAGCTATTTTGTGAATTTTGAATATTAGAGCTTTATCAGATACAGGTATCTCATTTTTTGAAAGTTTGCTTTATGCTACTTTGTGTTTATGAAAGATCTGCATTCGTTCATGTTTTCACTAAATGAAAGAAATCTGAAGAGGATTTTCATTTTTGTGATAAGTGCAATAAGCATTCAGTGCTGGTTTTGCAGCAAACCATTACAGAGGCAGCGAGAGTGGCAAGCTCTTTCTCCAGGAACACCACTCAGCAGCTCAGCATAAAATCACCACAGTTTAGGACTGTGTCTGTGAACACTCTATGTCAGTGTTATTTTAGGGTTTAGATGTTGTCTGGTATGATTGGATACATGATCTTTTGGGTTGGGAAACACTCAAAAATTTTTCCTATATTGCTTCTTCCCATTATACAATTTTGGCTTATGAAGGGTTTCTTAGGAATGTTCTACTTTTGGATAGCAGGGGAAACCTATATATGACTTCCAAACTGATATATATATATATATATATATATATATATATATATATATATTTTAGTGGCTTCAAAAAGTTTGTGGAAAAATGGAATTGAAATATAATGGGCTTTTCCCACAAACTTTTCAAAGCCTCTTTGTATAGACAGACAGACATAAAGAAAGAGAGAGGGAGAGAAGGAAAGAAAGGACGAGAGAGAGAACGAGAAGGAAAGAACCCTTAGATTATTCCAGATGGCCCCTGTCTTTTCCCTCCTTTCCTATTCACAACATGCTTTACAGAGTCTTCCAACTGCCTGCTTCTGGACAGATCAAGTCAGGCTACTATCCAACTGCTAAGCTCTTAATGCAGGTATCAAGTCACAACTGGCTCTGTGTCCTTAGTGCGGAGCACAGGCCCGCCACTAGGCAGAGGAGAACTAGGCAATGATGTATTAAGTTCAAGAATGAGATGCACAGCCACAGAAAGCCTCCTGCCTTTCCTATCAGAGTTCTTGAGTTACCACTGCCTCTTTCTGAACCTGCTTTCTCCCCTGAAAACATACTGCCCAGTCCTCTTCATGGCACCAGTGAGTCTTAAGTACAGGAGCAGATGTGAAGACATGTTATAAACTATAAACCCACCCCATGGGATTTTGTGGAGAGTCACTTCTCCCTGTTTCTGAGGCAGGGCAGTGATCCTGGGAGTGCTGCCTTGGCCCAGACTCTGTTGGAGCTCACCTCACAGAGAACAATCCCGAAAGAGAAGACATCCACGGTCTCATCGTAGCTCTTTCCTTTGGGAACATAGGAGAACAGATTGTTAAGTTCAGATCCATTATCTGCTGTGCACGAGGTCAAGGTCTAGGGCCACTGCTAAGAATCCAGGCTAGAGTAGGTTCTGTGAAGATGCTCTCCCAATGCTGCCCAGAGCAGGTACCCCCACAAATCATTTTTTCTTATCAGCTGTTACAAAACTGCAATGCTTGGGATGGAACTGCCTGTTGCAGCAGAGAACAGAAGCACACCCATCCGGCTGTGGCAATGGCCTGCAGTGTGTCAGTGCAAACCACTTAACTCTCTGGACCTCAGATTGGGTTTGTGTCTGAGGTCTCAGGTTATGAGTTTACAGAATCCACTGGCTAGTTTAAACATTATCCACCAGGGGGCACCACATGTCAGCTCTCAGGAGAGAAGAAAAGGCAAAAGCCAGGGTAAAAAGTCACCTAAGCACTCAGCTGTTCTTGGGGTCCAAAAACCAGATAATCCTCACCCTTCCCCAAGATGGAACAAAGATCAGCGCCCAGTCCCGACCTGACAAAGAATGAAAGCCACCCACTTCTGGGCTCTGGGTACCTGGTTCTACGGCCTCCGTGGGACTCCTGGGGGCATGCCCCTCCTGGATCACAGGACTCACCATTCAGCATCTCAGGGGCCATCCAGTAGGGGTTTCCCACAACGGTATAGCGTTTCTTTCGGTCATTCTTGCGCAAGGTGCGTTTCTTGGAGGTTGCCTTCTCCACCGGGGGCTTTTTCCTCTCCTCTACTATGAGCCGGGACAGCCCGAAGTCAGCCACCACTACAGTCTTATCCTGGTAGGACACAGGTGAGGTACTGGGGTTGGGGACTAGGCCACCAGAGCCATGAAGAAGGAAAGAAAAGTTGCACAGCAAAGGACCCAAATCAGCTGCCATGGAGTCAACGCTGATTCACTGCCACCCCAGGAACATGTGAAGGAGAACTACGCTCCACAGGGTTTCTAATGGCTGTGTTTTCAGAAATAGATGCCAGGCCTTCCTTCTGAGGTGTCGCTGAGGGAACTCAAATTGCCAACCTTTTGGCTAACAGACATACTTAATTACTGTGCTACCCAGGGAGGCAAAACTAGTTATGTATCTAAACATGTATCTTGTGCTCACAACAAACTCCCTGAACGACCAGCATTTTCTTACAGAGCCCCAGAGCTAGGATGGGTGAGGCTCTGGGTTCTGGATAGTGAACTCATGACGTGAGAAGTGGGGTTGATTCTGTCCTGCTGTGTGCACAGAATGATTTAGGGCAGCGGCTAGAACCAGGATGAGGTAGAGGCAGAGACAAGAGGAAGGCAGTCAGTGTGGGGAGCCAAGTTTGCGGAGCTCCTCACATAGCTACAGGGTAGTCATGTGGCAAAGGGATGAAGACTGTTTGGTATTGGTCCAAGGGCAGGGCCGGGCCAGCTGATGCACACAAAGGCCAGACTGAAAGTCAGTAAGGGAAATAACACTGTTACCACAGAGCCGAGGGGCCGTGGCAGCAATGCTGAGTCAGAAGACCTGTAAGCCCCCTTGCTCTGTGGCCTCAGGGTGAGGCTTCAGGAGCCACAGCTACAAAATGGGGTGAGAAGCCACATAGAGGATAGGGCTATCTTCTGAGGTTCTGTCTAATAAATGCTTTTACTGGCTGCTACCCAGAGGAGGTGGAATTGTGTCTGCGTGTCTGGGAGCTCTCAGAAGAGAGAGCAAGGCTTTGGAGGCAATAGGAGGGCAAGACAGAAGACCCAGGGAATACTTCTGGTCTGAAACAAGGGGAGATAGTTAGCTTCCTTTGTGACAAAGGAGCCTCTGGGACATACCAGCTTGATGAGGCAGTTGTGTGAGTTCAGGTCCCTGTGGATGATGCACATGGAGTGCAGGTAGGCCTGGAACAGAAGCATGAGGTGAGGCCGATGCTAGAAAATCAAGCAGACCTGACTCTGGAGATGGGGCCACACAGCCTGGTCTCAGGTATCCCTACCCACCAGCCCGTGCTGTCTTCACCACCCTGAGCTCTAGGTCATCTGAAGTGAACACCACAGGTGCTCCTAAACCCAGTCCCCCTGGGACAATGGATGAAGTGACATCTTCTTGGTCCACGCTAGCTCTGTGCTCCTGACACTAACTCGAATTCTCCTCATTTCTACCTATACTTGAAACTCTTTCTACCTAAAGGCTGTTCATCTCCCATGCTACCTACTCCTCAGACACTTGTGGGCCTGGTTTTCCCTTCAGGCCTCCTCAGTGTCAGCCTTGCTTAAGGCCATCGCTTCACATACAGTGATCCCACCACATGGATGCCTCTACCCACTTCTGTCAAGTAGATCCTGAAACAAAGCATCCTTGTAGGACAGAGAACTGCCCCATAGGGTTCCCAAGACTGTCATCTTTGCAAATGCCAACTGCCACATCTTTCTTTGGTGGAGTGGCTGCTGGGTTTGAATAACTGACCCTTTGGCTAGCAGCCAAGCCCTTACCCACCGTGTCACCACATCTATGGATCTCACATCACTTAACTCCTCCCTCTACCTTGTTTCCTCTCTCCATTCTGACTCCATCTGGACTCCGTCTCATATGTCCCATAGCCACTCTCCCAACTTAGGAACCCAAAATGTTTCATTGGCCCCTACTCACGTCTCCCTGTGTTGAGACACTCCAGTCCACCCACCCACCCAACCTTCTAAAAGACCACTCTTTGGTCACAAAATGTTCTTGTCTATGTATTTTTCATGTCTGTCTCTTTGACTTCCTACATGAAGTCCAGACTCTCTCTTTGGAAACTAGAGATCTTTATCTACCCCAACCTACTCAGTGTTGTCATTAGAGACCCCACATGAATACAACTGGCTTGAATCTCCAGCTCAAGGACCAGACTGGCTGGCCTGGGACCCCAGCTCTGTACCTTTCTTGCCTTAGTTTCTCATCTGAAAACTAGGTTGTTGTGAGGAATGAGTACTCATCTGCACAGACACGTGCATGTCTCTGCTCAGTGCTTGGCATTAGGAAAGCACTCACTGATGGTTAGCATTTAGTATTATGCTTTGTACTATCTTTCCTCCTCTCTTCCCCCAGGCATATACTGCTGTCATCCTCTTAACCTTGCAGCCTCTCTGCCAACAGGCACTTCTATCCAATTCTGGTCCATCCTTCGAGGCTCAACTAGATAGACTTCATTGTCCCCAGGAAACCTTCTCAGATTTCATAGGTGCTTTGCTTGCTCCAAGGCTCTCAGTACCAGACTCCTCAGGAGGTTTTTTTTGCTCCGTGTAAAGACAGAGATTCTAAATCAAATTTCCATGGACAGGGAGTCCAAGCCACCTTGGCAATAGTTTACTTCTCCCATTTGCCTTATCTGTGTCCTGTCTGCCCTTGAAGGCTTTAAATACCTTGAGGGTAGAGTTGTGAATGAAGAATAGCTAATCAGAGGCAATTTAACTAGCAAACAAAAAAGCTCGATACAAAAAAGTGCTCAACAAACAAAACCATCCCAGAGTACCTGTCCTGTCATCCTTGCACATCTCCAGCAGGTCTGCTGGGGGACTCACCATTCCGGAGGCAATGCCTTTGGCAAACCTGACCTTCTGCTGCCAGGGGAACGGGTCCTACAGGATGGAGAATGCCCATCAGAGGCTGTAGGTCAATAGGGTCTTCCAGGGAACCCTCCCCACCAGTGCCCCCTCTAGCTACTGTGGTTCCATGGTAGTGGTGGCATGGTTTTATCCCACTGACAAGCCCCACACAGCTCTAGGTGGTTGTGTGCTCACCACACTTCGCAGAAAGTCCTTTAATGTGCCGCCCTCGATGTACTCGGTCAGCAGGTTCAGCTTCTTGTCCTTGTACAGTACACCAATGAACTTGAGCACATTGGGGTGGTCCAAGCTTCGCATAACTTTCACCTGGGAGGGGTGGAGCGTGGGGCTGGTTACTTTCTACTATACCTTCCTTATCCCTTCCGTTCAGGATCCAGCTTGGCAAGTGAGACCTACACCTCTACCCGCAAGTTGTGATGTAGCAGGATACACAGATCAGATAAGGGCCAGGAGCCTCCATGTGGCAAAGGGAAGCCAAGGTCTACAGGGACAGCCCCTAGACAGGTGAGGCCAACTCAAGACTATGGGAATGGAGCAACTTGGGGCGCTGACCCTGTGAAAACTGTGTGACTGTTCAGGGGTGTCTGTTTCTCAGGGAGGCCCATTCAAGGCGCCCTTAGCAGGTGCTCAGGTGATGGAGCATCAGGACCCATGGTCTCCTGGGAACCACTCTCCATTTTGATTGCATCCCCAGCACCCAGCTTGTGTCTTTAGTATATGTTCACTGAAACAGTAATTACGCTGTCATTCTGCACAGCAGGAATGTTGTTCCTCAAGAGCTTTTTTTGCTCCATTTTCAAGACAGAGATTCTAAATCAATTTTCCTCTGGAGACCATTATCTGTAAGGTCCTTCCCTTTTAATGGTGACACCAATCTTCCAACTCCCAGCCCCTCTTTTCACCTCAGTCAGAAATGTCTTCTGTGTCTCCTCGTCACACCGAATTAACTCTTTCATGACCATCACTTTGCCTGTGGCTTTGTGTGTCACCTATGAGGAAGACAACTGTTAATGGTGCCGAAATAGAAGGCAGTTTGTTTTGGAGAACTGTCAGTGAAAACCTAGCCACTATCCGTCCCATTCTTGAGGGACCCACTGCGCCTGATGACATGGACAGAGTCCAGATGAGGAGGACACAGCATGGGGGGGCAGAGGCCTCTCCCCTGGTGAGCTGGGCATGCATGGAGGAGAGTGAGGATCCAGAAAAGGGGTGGGGAAGGGGTCAAGCCAAGCAGGGGCTCTGGTCATTTGGCACAGGAGCGAGTCCCCTTTGGGTTGTTCTGCTGAGGGCCTGGGGGTGGAAGGGTCAGTGCCACAGACATGCGCCAGGGTGCTGGGGAGGTTGGGACGAGTTCTTCAGTCCCACTGCCCCACAAGCTGAAATACACTGCTTACCTGGCCCCCCCTTCTAGCTCTCAGCAGAGGAGGGGAGACAGAGAAAAAAAGAAAGAGAGAGAGAGAGGTTAGTCCCCGAGACTCCTGTCAGGGAGGTGGAAGTCACTCGTTCTGTGTGCTCCTCACAGCAGCTCAGCATTACTAAGCTTTCTGAGGACTCCTGCCTGCAGCCAGGAAGGAGGTCTGCTGTTCTCTGGGGTGGGGATGAGAACTCCCAAGAGGTGGGAGGGGGTGAGGGCAGTAGAAAGCCAAGCAGCTGCTGCCCATGCTCTCACCTTGATGGCCTGCCCGAAGAAGCCCTTCCCCAGGACCTCCCCGTGAATGAGGTCACACGGTCGGAAGATCTGCTGTGAGTAGCTGCTGGAACAGCGGAGCGATTCCGAGCGGCTGATGTCCCTGCTCAGCAGCAGTGGCTCCTTTGGGGAGCTGGGCCCAGGCGACTTGGAGATGCTGTTACTGCGCCTGAGGACAGGGCAAGACGGGTGAGGGTTCTGACTTCAGAGAGATGTGCCATTTGGGGGTTGCACATATCGGTAGCTCAGAAACACACAAGACTTAGTGTAGCCTGAGGGTAGCTCCAAACAGCCAGCTTCTCAGTTGGCAGTCAAGTGCATTCATCATTTTAAATACCAGCAGGGTCACCCATGGTCGACAGGTTTCAGCAGAGTTTCCAGACTAAGACAGACTATGAAGAAGAAGAGGAACCCCCTTCCGAATGGTTAGCCACTGAAAAATTTATGAATAGCTGTGGAATCAGATAGCCTAAACCTATTTTTAAGGTGGGCTTTTGGTGTGGCATAGGATCAGCACTGGATTGTGAACCACAAGGTTGGTAGTTGAAACCCACCAGCTGCTCCTCAGAAACCCTATACAGCGTTGCTATGAGTCAGAACCAACTCAACGGCACTTAACAACAACAACCACAATAAGGCCGCTATATTTACTTGTATGAAAGTGGCCAGTAATAGTGACGGCTGTGATGGTTATGTTGATTACCGTGGGCCACAGTCCTGCATATGAAGTGCAGTCCCAGTGTGGCCTGTTCTCATTTTCCTGGCTACCTGAGGTCAGCTGGCTCATGGTCTTGCCTAGTCTGCTCTCTGCTGCCCACTGACCATGCCCACTAAAGCACCAGACGAACTGTCTCCTATCCTATGTGATGGCCCTCCAGAGATGGCAGCAGCTTGTCCGCTGCCTCCACACCTTCCCTGCTTCAAGCTGTGCCCTCCCAAGCCTCCTCTGCCCACTCCTGCTCTGCTTTCATGCTCACTCATGCTACCAAGGCCAAGGGCAGTTAGAGGAGATGGCAGCAACCATGGGGAGGGGCAGTTTCCAGGAGCTGTCAGTCAGCAGTCACTGAGCGCTGACCCTATGCTGGGTACATTCCTTCTATGTCCTTTTCCACATTTCATAATTCCATTTCACAGATGCAGAAACAGAGGCACAGAAAGATGATCTGTACAGGGAGCTCAGCCCAGGATGGTGCTCTGAATTCCTGTTCTGTGACTCCCTCTAGGAGCCTGCCCCCAGGGACATGCTCTGCTCTTATGGGCCTGGCAGACTCTGGAGCCTGGGTTCATGGTCCTTCTCAAGTCAGAAACAATGTGCGCTTCTTTCCACGTTCTTGTAGATACTTAGTCAGTCCTCTGTGCACCCCTACTTCCATGCTTTTAGCCCCACTGCCCCCCAGAGGTCATGTTGCTGCCCACCTCCCACCACAGCCAGCTCAGGGGCTCAGTGGAAACCTGGTAGACAGCTGGGTCAACTCATGGACAGCCCGGCATGAACGATGATCCCTGGGAGTGGGGAGTGTTGGGTCAGCACAACCCTCATTGCCAGCTGGTTCCCTCCATAACTCCACTGGGATCTGCCTCATCTGAGAGATGGGCACAGAGACAGGAAAGAGTAAGGGTGGAAGGTGGCACCTCAAGGAGCGTCTCCTCAGTGTCCCTTCCAGATTCTCCTTGGTGTCCAGGGTGTTAAGGGTTGGGGAGTGGCCAGCATTCTGAATGTGGGGAGAAAGCCGTGCATCTAGCCGCAGCTGGTCCAGGCGTTGGGAGACGGGGTCATGCTCAATCAAGAGTTGAAGAGTCTGGCTCGTCTGGCTAATCGCGTTCTTTACCTATGATTAAGAGCAGTGTAAAGCTGGCTCCCACAGGCTGCCCATTAGACACAGTACCACATTGTGTCTAATGGTGGTCTCTAGCCACCTGCCTGTGCACTGATAGCCTACCAGGCTGACATAGAGGCCACTAGTGGTCACAGGTTCAGTGCTGAGATAGAGAGACAGGCAGGGAAAGGTAACAGTCACAGCCTGACCTCCCAGAGTGCCTGACCCATGTCCCACCCCACAAGACAACCTGGACACACACTGTACCTCCTCCACTTGAAGTGTACGGACAGGAGTCCCATTGATTTCCAAGATGCGGTCCCCGGGGTGGATGGCATTGCGGTTGTTGGAACTGATATGCATCCGGTTTACCCTGTGTAAGGAAGTACGGCAGGATGAAGACGCCTTAAAGACCTGGCCAGCCAATTTGTTCTCCAGGCCGGCCACTGGTCCAAAGGCCTAGACCACCCCGTCATGTCAGTGATGGGTATCACCACTACCCAGAGGCTCATGTCAGAAACCTGAATGGCACCCTCCCAATCTTGAGTTCCCTGTCTCCCCTACCATCCCTGAGAATCCTGCCTTTGGAGAATCTGCTAGTCTAGTCACGACTTGCCACCATCATGGCAACTAACATCTCTCCCCCGGATCACTGCAACAGCCTCCTGACTGGCCTTTCCACCTAGAGGCTTACCTCTGCCATCCAACCTCCACGTGGATCACCAGTTGTCTAAAATACCATCTGGTCATGTCACCCCTCAATGGACCTTGTTGAGGCTTCATAATGCACGCACGCCGGCTACTCCCAACCACCTATCTACACCAGACACAACCAGAGACTCTGCTGCTCCCTTGGTCCTGAATACAATTCCTTTCTCAAGTAACGAATAGAGTTTAAAGTAGACTTCACCTCCACTTGACTTTTCCAGTCTCAGGACTTCTCACTTGTAGCAAACACCAGCCCAGCTCTCAGTACAGAGTAGGTGCACAACAGTGATTTAGAGACAAAGTCCCATAGATGCCTCATCATTGGTATTATCTGAACATACCTTTTCTCCACCTGGTCTCTGTCTTGGACCTGGGATGGGGTCTTTTGGGTTATAGGTCTAATTTTCTCCATTCTCTAGTTGCATTCACTCAACCAACCAAGCAATACCAATGAGCACCTACTATGTGCCACGCATTGTTCCAGGTCCTGAGCACATAGCATGAGCATAGACAAAGTTCGTTCCGGAACTTATGTACTAGTGGGAAGAGCAGGTGACAGACTAACAAACTGTTGTTGTTAAGAGCCACTGAGTCAGTTCCGACTCTTAGCGATCCTATATAGAGTTTCTGAGGAGCAGCTGGTGAGTTTGAACCACTGAATTTGTGGTTCAAACTGACCTGTGATCTAATGCTTATTCTACTGTGCCATGCTCTTGTTGTTGTGAAGTGCCGTTGAGTTGGTTCTGACCCATGGTGACCCTGCATAGGGTTTCCAAGGAATAGCTGGTGAGTTTGAACCATCGACCTTGCAGTTCAAACACACAGTCACATCAGAGAATTTCAAAGAGCAAACACTCTTAGAAGCCTGAGATCTGAAAGGTGAGCAGAATCTGGCCTTGAGCATCTAGGTAAAGAACAGTACGTGCTCCAGTGTGGCTACAGCATGGTGAACCCCAGGAAGAAGACAAGGAACAGGATAAAGAGCGCTCTCATAAGACATTGGGGCCTGGGTCCCCTGAAGCCCATCTCGGGACTCTGCTTAAGGACCTCTTCTTTGGCAGCTGCAGGATTCCTGGGCAGATGTGGAGCCAACCAGCCCTGTAGATACTCACTCTCTGACTTGCACAGTGGTGGCATAGTTGGAGCAGGCGCTTTCTACAGACACGGAGAAGCCTCGCTTGCCCTCGGTGGTGGCTGGCATGGAGATGAGTGTGACAGAGTAGGGCAGCTGGTCCTGGACAGACTCCGTGGAGAGCCTCTCGAACATAGGAGCCAGCACCACCTCGTTGTGGCATTTCCCACTGAGGAGAAGGGCCACAGAATGGGTTAGGATTCTGGATCTCTACCTGGCCCCCTTCCCTCAACAATCACTGCACCATGTGGCTTCAAGTAACCCCACCTACAGACCCATTGCCATGATTCCAGCTGGTTGTTCAGAATGAGGAGTCTGGGGTCTCTATGGGCAGGCTGGAGCTGGGGTGGCATACTGGATCTGCAGTGAGTGATGTACTGACTGGGGGTGAGGTGGCCTGGGTTGTCTTTGTTCTTTCCTCAGTCCCCTTCCCCTCTCTGGACCTCAGTCTGACTTTTTTGTCTACCACGACAGTTAGACTGGCTGAGCTTAAGGGGTCTTTGCCTTTACTGTTCCAAGATCCTCCATGGACTGCCTTCCCCATCCCACCCAGAGGGTGGTGAAGTGGTAGGTAAGGACAGAGGGCAGAGAGATGCCAACCGTCTTGTTTGCAGGTTACAGAGCACTGAGTACTGCTGTGATAGGATGCTCTGATGACCCCACATTGCCACCTGTCCCTCCCCCCAGCCACTCTCATCGGGGAGGATGGACACGGAGTCATCCTCTTACCAGTAGAGGGAGGCATGCTGCACCAGTGCATATGCGTCCCCATCCTCGATGATCACCTTGCAGCTCATACAGGCAAAGCACTCGGGATGGTACTTGAACTCACCAGCCACCTGTGAGGGAGGGGCACAAGGAGGGAAGAAGTGAGCTGTCTGGGAGGACTGGGCCTTGCTGCTGTTGCTGAAGTATGGGTTGGGGTGGGGCATGAGTGACCCTGGATCAAGTAACTACAGACCCCAGTCATAATATCCCTTTTTACCCCTTGCACTAGGGCTGCCAGAGAAAAAGTCACATTGCTGCCTACCCTGTCATTTCTGAGATGGCAAACACTTGTTTTGGTCTCAGTACTGGGAATGAGACCTCAGAGGGAACCACCCCCATGAGAGACACACAGGTATCTCCCCCCCCCCCGCCCCGGCACAGGGTGGACTAGTCCAGGGCTGGAGCAGGCACAGAAGGTGGAACCGCTTTCTGCCAGTCCAGTGCGCGCTCCCTTTCTGGGTGGGTCCCTGAAGTAACTCCGGTGTGTCATGTTCTCCCACTGTATGTGCCTCCTCCCTGCCCACCTACTCCCAACACGCTTCCAGTTTTGACAGAGGAGTCTCACCTGGCACTTATGAGGTACTCAACACACATCTACCAAGTGGATGAATAAAGGGGGAAAACTCTGGCTGATGGGAAGACCAGAAAGATGACAGGCCATGAGGAACTGGAGGCATTGCCAACAGACTCTGTTTATCCAGGGGTCAAGATAAGGGGGCTCACTCACCATGACGGGCCCGGTCATCAGCAGGGAGCACCCATGGCAGAACTCCCCAAACTTGGCCCAGTAGTCCTTGTGGCAGTAGAGCTTCCCGTCCTTCTCATAGTACCAATTGGTGAGGGAATCCTGGCATTCTGAACACCTAGGAGGCAAGACAAGCACAGAAATTTTCCTGGAACCAGGTAACAAGGGACAGTCCTTACTCGAATCCAAAGTCAGGATTTCAGGAAGTCACAGGTCAGTGGCGTCCCCACAAAGGAACTCAGTTCAGAGTGAACAAGGCCCCAGAAACCAACACTGAGTTGCAGGCCTTAGCTGTAGACCAGCATTTCTTAACATCTTTGGGTCATGGAGTCATCTGCAAGTCTGATAAGAGGCAAGCAACCGCCCCCCAAAAATGCACAGACAAGGAAAATGAGCAAACAGACACTTTTTTGGGAGGAGAGGGAGGCGGACAGAGGGAAGGTATCAGACTCCTTGAATTGACCTCAGGTCCAGTCAGATTTCTCAATGAACCAAAGACGTTTGATCACTTTTCTACTCTCCAAAGCCTAAGACTCTGACAGTAGTGTAAGTATTCTTGCTAACTCAATGTGAATCACACAGAAGTAAGCCAGGCAAGTGCAGGATGCGGGCTGTTCTTCCAAAGTTAATGTCACAGGAGGAAAAGGAACAGCGATTTAAAATGTCTAGAGCTATAGCAATCACCTAAATCAAGATTCAATTCTGGAGTAGATTTTAAAAAACAAAAACAAAGCAAAAATCAGGAATACTCATAGCTGTGAATGGCATTTTCGGAACAGTTGAAAAAATTTGAATTTGGACCGTATAAATATCAGATTAGATTATGAAATCATTGTCCATTTTCTTAGATGTGATAGTGGTACTTTGGTTATGTAGAAAAATTCTTAGGAGAAACATACAAGAGGGCTTCAAAAAGTTCATAGAAAAACTGAAATAAAATAATGAATTCTTACCTAGCCTCTATGCCTTGATAATCAGAACTCGACTAGAGGAAGATTAAAAAAAAAAATTTTTTTTTGGATAAAGGAAATGAGTGTAAATTGCTACAATTTGATGAACTTGATCTATACTTAGGGATGTAGTAGCTCAAAATACCAACTGAGAGGGAAGGAGTCTTCCCATCAAGTATCAATCCTATCCTCTCTGTATACAGGGTAGATAGGGATGGGCAACTTAGACATTGGATACCTAAAATGAGGGGGCAATAAAGGCACAAAGTGACTGGCTTACAAGTTTCCAAGAGGGAGTTTAGTTTAAGAGTGTGTGAGGAACTAGAAAAAGAAAGAGGAGGAAAAAAAGAGTAATCTGATACTTTGATGAACTTGACCTATACCTATAGATGCAGTAGCTAAAAAGAGGGAACAAATCTTTACAGTGAGGATCATTCCCACCCCCTCGATACACAGGGTTGACAGGGATGGGCAACTTGGACATTGGTTACCCAAAATGGGGTGGGGAGGCCTACAAAGGCAAGGAGTGACTGGCTTACAAGCTTTCAAGAGGGAGCCTAGATCCAGAGGGCATGGAGGAAGGCAGAATCTCCACTGAGTAGTATCCAATCTGTCTGGGCGGGGCTGATGAAAGGAGATGGTGATAGGTCTCTTGTGGTAAAATAGTGAATAACTGTTATTAGGACTGACTGTGAAGGTTGGAAATGGAAAGGTAGACAATTTGTAGTAAAAGGAGGGGAGTGGTTGACTTTGCAGTCCAGGAGCAGAGGTCCCTGGGGCCATCACAGGAGAAGAGTGGAGAGGGGGAGAAGCAGTGATGCCAGAGATGGAGGCAAAGACAATGACATGAAGAGATGAAGCAGCTGGGGACTTTAGACCCAGATATGCCAGAGATGGAGGCAGAGACAATGACATGGAGAGATGAAGCAGCTGGGGACTTTAGACCCAGAGAAGGAAAGAGATTGTGTGCTGACGACCTGGCAGGTTGCAGGGTATCATGATTGATGATGCATGGTGGGGACTGTAACCATAGCAATGAAATGATATATGATAGGATGAATGTAAAGCTAATGTTCTCCCATGTAAATGATCACATAATTAAAAAAAAAAAGAGTGTGTGGGGGAAGGTAGAGTCCCCACTGAATAGTTTTCATCTTGTCTAGACGGGTATGGTGAAAAGAGATGGGAATAAGATTCTTATGATTCAATAGTGAGCAATTGTTATCACGACTAATTGCGACTGTCACAATTGTAATGGTAGAAGTTTTGTAACAAAAATGTGGGAGTAGTTAATCTTACAGTCCTGAAACAGAGGACCCTAGGACCATCAAGGGAGAAGAGCACAAGCGGAATGCATGACCCTATCCAGAGAAGCAGCAACACCAGAGATGGAGGCAGAGATGAGGACATGGAGAGAGGGAGCAGCTAAGGACTCTAGACTCATGGAAAGAGAGGGACTGGTTGATGGAAAAAATGGATTTTTTCCATGAACTTTTTGAAGCCCCTTTGCTTGAAAATACTTAAGAATAAAGAATCAAGATGACCATAGTTTACTTTTAAGTAATTAAGGAAAACACACATACACACAGAGAAAAGTAGCAAAAAGTTAACAAATGATAAATCTAAATGAACATGGATGGTCTTTGAATTATTTTTTCAACTTTTATATAGATTTGCAAATTGTCAAAATAAAATCTTAAAGGATACCTGATATTCCTTGTGGCTAAATAACAAAATGGCTATACGGATAAAGAATGGCACATGTTTAAGTACTGTGCTCCTTTAAAAAAAATCACCTATATGAGACCAAATGGTCAACCAGTATTTTAATACAAAGATGAAAATGTAAGGGGTCAGAGAAACTAGATGAAGGAAAACAGAATCACCAGAATGGAAATGACAATATTCACACATGATGAAGAATCTAATCAATGTCACTGAACCTGTGTCTATGCTGTTGAATGGGAACCTACACCACTGTGCAAACCCTTCACTGAAAATACAGTATCATGAAGCATAAAATAAAATATGGGGGGGGAGGGAAGGGAAAAGACAGAGACTCTATTAGCACTGCCCAAGAGGACCCACAGCTTGTCTGACAGCTGCCAGCAGGTCTACACAGTCTCCTCCGGACTCTGAGCCTCCAAGTATGCAAAGCCAAGAACGCCCTGACCTGCTGACCCAATGTCACTTTTTTCCAAGTTTGCAGACTCCTCATTTTTGCTGTGAAGGCCTGGCACCATCCACACTGACCACAGTCTCTATTCTGAGAGGCAGCTGGGAGTTGGATGGGTGGGTCTGAGATTGAATTCTGACCTGGCCACTGGCTAATTACGTTGTGTTGCTAACAGTTACTTTACTTCTCTGACCCAGTTTCCTCCCCTGCAAAACTGAATTGCTGTGAAAAGTAAATGAAATAGTTTGTATTAAAATATGAAGTATAGACAGTTTCCACGAAAGGTCCAGGACAGTAGGCACTCAATATATTTCTTTCGCCACAAAGAAGATGATGGTAATGGTAGCTTGCTTTTTGGCCACTAACTGCCTGTAGCTGGGAAACCTTGGACAATTATTTTTCGTGGACAAATGAAACTATACTAACATACTACTGCAAAGTGCCACTGGGAGGTAACTGTAAGTTAATGTATGAAAAAATATTTTGCAAACTACAGAGGGCAAGGCAGTTGCACTGATAGAGTAACTTGCTGGCACTGCAGATAGAAAAGACAGCTAGTTATACAAGGTCCCCATTCTGCCCCAAGAGCACAGAACTAGTTGGGGAGGAGATCCTAAAGGAAACACTACACAGCCACCAGCGGGGACGGGGGGATGAGGACGACTGGAGTGCATGGAAGCAGAGGCAGCTATGGAGAGCAGAAGCTGCGCTAGGTGGGTGCAGAGAGGCAGTTCTGAGAACTCCTCTCTCTCTTTGGAGTGCCTGGTTACACTGGGTGCTCAATAACCCTCTCGATGGTTCTGCTGCTGGCCACTCCTATCCTGTTGCTTTTCCCATCTGTCCTATGGGTGCTGAACTTCTGGGCCTTGAGCACTTGCTATGACAGAAAGGGTATGGTTATGAAGTGGCTAGATCTGTGCAGTGAGAGCAAACCCTGGGCATGTGGTCCCATTCATCTCAAAATCAAAGACATGTTGGATGAGCTCTGGATTGGGAGACACCTGGGGTCAAGTTCTGGGAGCTGCATGCCCTTGGACAAGCCCCTTTCTGGGTCTGGTTTCCCCACCTGTGCAATGATGGGGTTAGACTATACACCATACATTCTCCTACTCACTCTAATCCATTGAATTTTCTCTAAAAGCTCAGCCAGTACTGATTTCCTGACTCTTAAGCCTCACACCGATGGTCCCTTACACTCTGGGCTCACATACCTCCCCAGTCTGGGCTTCCAGCCTTCTCCAACTTGCACTTTACACTTGATACCAGGGAAGGTCTGGTTTTGCTCTGGTCAAAAATTTCATCACATTTTTCTTTCCTTCATAGCCATTCACTAGTCTCTGATGGGTCCATGCACCTAGACTCCACATGACAGACTTGCTGGTGGCAGAAGCCATGTCAGACATGTCTATCATGTCTGCTTGCTGCTGATGTGATGTGCCAGAGAGTCAGTTCCAACTCATAGCAACCTTGTACAATGTTTTTGAGGAGCTGCTGGTGGGTTTGAACAGCCGGCCTTGTGGTTAGCATTCCTACAGCATCACACCAGATGTTATAAAAAGAAAAAACAAAACAAAGCCCCATGAGGCTTGAATCAGGCTGACACCTATCCCCCACCCAGGATCCCAGGGCACACGAAGGCCAGAGCTGAAAGCACCAATATCTTAGTTTCTGGCTCTTGAGTGCTCTGAAGTCAGGTAAGAAATAATTCTATGAATTTCTATTCAACCTTCAGGCCTCGCTCAAATGCCCCAGACTTTGGTAGGCCTTTATTGCTTGTCCTGCTACTTACACTCTCTTAACTACCTCATGGTCACACAGTGACAATCCTCAGAATGAAAACACTTCATAGCTGTATGAACAGGCTCATGGTAACACAGAAGAGAAGGGGCAAAGCTTGGTCTAGATTCCAAGTCATGGATACCTAAAATCTTTCTTTCATATGTAAAAGTTGGGATTTCCACATAAAAAATCTGGATCTTCCACT